ACCGATAATTTGATTTAATTAATCATATTACTTGTATACCTGCATAAAAGCTAGGTGGGGAACGTTATTCGAGAGAAGTGAGACCTCAATGAGACACGACAGTTGTAATACATACATACTTTACTCATTGTAACGTATGCATCTATGGATAGATGAAAATGTACAAAAGGAATGCAAATATAAATAAATATGAATTATGTTAAATAGTGATATTGTACGACTGCTTGTATGAAAAATACAAAACATATTTGGCAGAGGCCAAATGGTTCTACCTACTCAACTGGTAATGGGTCAAGCACAGTCCCTTTTTTGGAAGGCTAATCATTGTAATACATGTTATACATCAGAATTAAATATCATTGATAGTTAGAAACTGCACGGGACTATAGTTCGTTATCTCACGCGTTTACTTGCGTATATTCAGACCTCGAACTTTGGACGAATTGAACTGCGATCGTAATTGATCGGCGGCGGCTAATATTGCGTTAAGTTAACATCAGATGGGGCCGATACCCGACACTTTGTGAAACAAAGTCCCTGGTATAGATATATGTACGAACTGAACAAAAGATCGTCTGTCTTCGCCAAATTATCAATGTGTCCAGTGGTGTGAGCACCCAGATAAAGATCGTATACAACATTGGTCAAAAAGGTTATCCAACTCATGTGCTTTAATTTACAAATGATCAGCGCACAGGTGTAAATTGTTATAACTAGTGCTTTTTATTCCAGATGCCATGTCTAACATGATTAATGGTTCAAAATACAAAATAGTGGTGAAGATATACACATTTTATACCATACAGTCAAATTCATATAGGTACCCCTCAAATCCAATGTTTCACTGTGATTTGTACAGATGTAAAGAAATGTCTATTAAATTAAAGAAACGCCATCAAATGTCACCAAATTTAGCTACAATCATCATTAGTATGTGCCTAATAGCGTATGCGTCTACCGCGTGCTGCAATTATCTCTCTTGTAGATGGCGCCTTCAACAAGGGTAAAAATTCTGTTTCGTGGGATATTATCCCATTCTTTCATGTCAATTCCATTTGCTTCATAATGAAATATTCGTTCTAGGGGTTAGTTTGTGATTTTTATTTATTTATTTATTTATTTATAGTGAAAAAACATTCCAGGCGTCGACGACATTTTTTAGGTTCTAACTGGCTATAATTCTCATTTACGTAATACCTATGGAATATGAAATATTTTTCACTAAATTTATACATCATGTTCACCGCGTGAACGGAAAAGCGGTAATTTTCACCGTTTCAGGACGTTTCTATGACTTACGTAACATCAATTTCTAATGTAGTGAATTAATAGCTGCATTTTAATATTATTTAAAAAACCTTTAAAATAACATTCTTGTACAAAAAGAATACTCTGGCTTCAATATATGCTATTATTTCTTTAATTTCTAATATACACAACATAAAATGCTCATGAATATACTGAATAACGAAATCACAATAAAAACACAAAATCACTGATCACATGCAGATTTATGACAGCCACTCCAGCCTTATAGTAAATATAAATCCACAAGCAAACGAACCCTGTGGAAATTCGGTTCATTGGATTAATTGAAAATTGGGCTATTGGTACATGAAGTGGCTGTCTTTAATCTTCATAAACGGAGAGCAGTGTGTCTCACAATGTCAGGCCTCGTCATCTCCACCTTGTGTTCTGTACAAAACACTGTATGAAGAAAAAGACAAAGTCGCCTTTAGGATTCTGTATGTTGGGTAGAGGGCATCTTCTCGAGAACTCTGAGTGAGGCGGTTTCCAGACGACCCAAAATATTGTGCAGCAACCTGTAGGCTGACTCGTATGCTAAACCAAATTCAACGCTCAATTTGCTAATAATTGAAAGTGCAGGATATACAATTACCGCAGGGTCGATGGCACAAGCCATGAGCATCATCACAACGTCTCCAGTAATTCGCAAAGTTGGCATTTCGATTATTTCGGTTGTCTCTGAAATAAGGCTTTCCAGTTCTATGCCAGTTCTTTGCGAAAGACGCCTTAAGGTACCGTCGTCTAGCCCCAGCGCTTGTCTATAACTAGTCATTTCATTATCTATAAAGTCTAAAACTTCTTGTGGCATGAAATCTTTTAAACCAGAAGGGACAAACCCTTTCAATGCCAATAACATGGCCTTTTGTTTAAGGCGACTTCGAAGTATCTCGCACTTTTCTTTGATCAAATCTTTGGACAGATTGTTGAGAGACAAGGTAAGCACTTCGCGTTTTTCGTGGGGTAGCTTATGCAGCATATCTTGTTCTAGTTTCCGATAGTCCCACTTGTCTACATGTTTGAGACGTGTAGATATTAGATAAACACCGTCCTTTGGATAGACACCGTCTTTTTCAAGCAGTTTCTTGGTGCCATCACGGATTTCCTTCAGTAACTTATTGGCATCATGTGTCCGAGGGTGTGCATCTTCGTCACCTTCTATATCAACATCAATATGTGTCCTGACAATGAAATAGTTCTTACTCCGAAGCTGAGCTCTTTCAGCAAGCCATACATCGTCCTCTAAAATACGACTTCTTGTAAAGATAAGGAAGAAGTCATATGAATCAAAGTTAACCTCTTCCTCGTAATTGTCTTTGTTAAATTTGGACGTTCCAACTCCAGGTAAGTCCCACAAGGTAACATTTTTATTACTTGGATGGTGATACTCCTCTGGAACCATTGTTGTCTCTAATGATCCAACCTTAGCGGCACCGTTATCATCTGCAGTAAGTCCTCGAAATGTGTTCACGAAGGCAGATTTCCCTGTACCGGAAATTCCAGTCACTGCAATTTTCACAGGAACATTTTGGACTTCTTTTATCTTGTTTGCCATGAATTCTGCGAATTGTTCGAAACCTTTTTCTTCATAGTAAGCTTCAAACTCCTCGAGTTCCTCTGCTCCAATATACTTGTATTCGGATTCCGCCTGTGATTTTTCTGCCATTGTTATTTTAAAAACCTGCAATGATGAACGTCTTATTGGAACAAAACCGCAAAAGAAATCTTCTTTTTAAATAGAATTAACTAAATTTGAGTAATGAAAGAGTAGCCATTGCAACAGCTTTGCAAGAAGCTAAGCCATCCATCACTTTAAGATGCTAAATGTATGGACAACTTAAAAACATCGACTCTTATACGGCCCAAGTGCATAAAAGATAGACATATCAATTTGATGCAGTGACAACTAAGCTTAGATTCTTCGCCGTCTTTCGATACCCTAATCCAGTTTAAAATTATAGAGAACGTCGAGGTTCCGAAAAATGTGCATTGACCAGTGAAATAAATTTAAAACCTAAAACTTCATGCATCTTTTAAAAGTGAGGTATTTGCGTTCCAGTCAATGCTCATTTATAATAACATCATTTCTAGGTATTTGTCTAAAATCCAAGTAACAAATAGAAAAAAATGAAATGATTGGGCCACTCTTTATAACGTACTGTGTTTTCTAAAACACTTAAAACGAGTATACTCCACCATCATTTACATTATATAAGCTACATACAATTTCCGAGATTGATGGTCTCCTCTGCCTTATAGACAAACCTTCAATAACCTTAGTAAATGTAAGGAATGTCAAAGAAGCTTACATGAGTTCACATCAGCTCCGATAAAAATGGATCACCCCCGAATGACGCTCCTCTTTTATTCCGGTTTAGCGGTGACGTGTCTGGGACCTACAGTGGTTTCCAAATTATTTAACCAATTCAGATGAATAAGAATAGCCAGTTATCTTTACTTTTGGTTTGCATCGAAACATCTCGGCAACTAGAAGACTATAGTCTCATAAGAACCAAGAAAATCTATAAAATTAACTGTGTAGAGTATTTTAAAGATAGAAAAACCAATTCGCTTATCAATGTTAATGTTGGTAATGAGTTAAACAAATAATTATATCGGCCCGTTTTCAATGCCTGTCTATGAAAAAAAAAAGAAAAAATGGACTGTTTGTTTAACTTCTGTGCGTAAAACTTAGTCCACCGGTCTAATCAACGTTTTGGTAATTATCCAGTTTCAATTTTCTTAGTTGTCAGTGGGCTGTGCCATATTAATTTTTCTTTTATCTTCTAGATATTTTTACTTAAAGACCATGAGCGTGATGCTGATGTAGGGTTCATTAGTATTCTACAAACAAAAATCCCTAAAATTATGGCCTCTTATCATGAAAATTGCCTACAAACAAACAAACAGCAGACCAATAAACTTGAGAATATTTTCGCGAGTAAGAAGCATGTACAGGAATAGATTTCCCTTTGTACCACACAACTACAGTGTACTTAAAATAATTAAGATAAGGGTGAAACCGTAATATTTTTTCTCTTTCATGTTAGGCCTATGCAATAAAAACGACGCGAGCTCGTTGCTATAAGAATAATAAAATTACACATACAGTATCTGTGTACTAAATGAAGAAGATAAGGGTTTCGAGACGGTATGGTTTCAATAAAAATATTCATGATTTGCAGATATCATTTTATTATTTATATTTAATATCAAATTTGAATGTAAATTAAAACATTTGAAGCAAAATATTCCTAAAATTACACACAATAGTAACAGACACACGACATTATTTGCCTCTGTTATTCGCAAAACTTATCCATTTTGAAGTCTTTCTTTCTATGTATTTATTGCGCCTTTCATTTCACATACTATTGCTTAAGTCTTAGATACCTACAAATCCAAACGAAGATTAAATACGAAGCATTGAACAACATAACAAAGGAAAATCATTTTCAAAATTTAATAAACTAAGCAAGGGACAGACAAAGCAATGTTTTCCTGACAGCCCAGATGGATATTCACTAAATGCAAAGAATATTACTAAAATCAAATTGATTGATTGGTTGTAATCTAAATTTCAATCTTTACGAACAACAACATTGATTTAACAATAAGAAGGAAAGATTAAATAGAACATTATTATTACAATAACAATCACGTCTCTCTCATGTCTTTTGGTTATGTCTGAAAAGTTATTTGAACATTTTTAACATTTCGTCTTCAATAATTTTCAAAGCCCTGTGTAGTATGAAACCTGTCATACGATAAGACAGAAATGCCGACAAGGCACACCCAAACACGGTGACATGGATACAGTACGGGCTCACCATGAAGTAGAGGTTTAACTTTAAGAACTCGCTAAGAAGCCTGCCAACACCTGCAACTTGAAATTTCCATGAGCTCGTGAGACCCAAACGTCTCCACGAAAGTTCCATTTGTGTTAGGCTATTCGTATAAGTTCTTATCTGCCGTAGAGTTAAAAAATATTCAACAACAAGGGGGAGAAGCGGAACGGGGACCGCAGCTAGTATCCCTGACAGAAAAACAGCACGCCAGACATTATCGAGCAGGTATTGGCTTTTGACTCTGATGGCGGAAGGATACGGCACAGATATGGCCACTGCAACTGTTTCTTTTTTTATACGAGGTAGAAGCTGAAGCATGTCCGAGTTCAACTTGGGAAAGTCCCATTTGTCTTTGTCTTGCAACCGTGTAGAGATCAAGTAGACTTTAGTATGGGCCGCTTTAATGCCAGCGTGTTGAATTTGAGTCTCGCAGTCATTTCGAACGGTATCTAGGCATGATTCCTCGACTGAAGTTTTGTCACCCCCTCTTTTCTTGGATGCTATGTCCTGGTCAATGTGCGTTCGAACGTAAAAGAAACGTTTTCGTCGTAGGTTGACCTGTTTAACAAACCACGCGTCTTCTTCATAGAATCTCCCTCGTCCAAATATCAAGTAGAAATCATAAGTGTCAAAGTTAACAGTTTCTAAATAGTTATCTCTGCCAAATTTACCAGTTCCAATTCCAGGCAAATCCCAGAAAATAAGGCCTGGCTGCTCTGGGTGTCTATATTGCCCTGTGATACTTTGCGAACCAAAGGAATCTACGGGCGCCGCGCCAGGGTCGTCAGCTCTCAGTCCAAGAATTGTGTTGATGAACTGAGATTTTCCTGAACCCGAAATCCCACATAAGGCAACGTTCACTTCAGTGTTCGACCACTGGTTGGAATATTCGGTTGAAGTTGTTTCCATTTTGAATCTGTGCATGTTAATCTAAAGCTTGTGTTGTCGCCTCTCCGCTACAAACTTCTAAAATCTGTATGATTATAAAATTTGATTTCTAGGCAGCACACTCTAGCGTTCACTTGATATAGCATAATTGACAGAGCAAACATGTAATCACGTGATGTGGTTGCTTGGCAGTGGGCGTGGCTTTCCAAGAATTACAGGGTGCTGCAAAATGTAATATATATCATCAACTATTTGGAGCTATGCAAATCAAATTCCATTGTGTCGCTAGGGCAACATACACTTCGCTGTAGTACTATTCAAAGCGATTTGAACAGTTTTTTTTTCTGGGTGATTTAACGTTAAATTATTGTTACTTGTTTTAGTATTTTTTATTCTATGTATTGATATTTCACCCAGTTCTTGGGATAAGAAAAACCAATAGAAATTCCATTATGAGGTATTAGTGAAGAAGAAAAATGCTTATAGGGATAACAACTCTACGTATGAAATCTATATTTTACAAATAATACATTGCAAACAACTTATAGAAATACAATATATTCTTTTTTACCAGCAAAACCGCAGCAGTTATAGCAATAAATTTGAATTTGTGCTAGCCATCAGACCATGTGACCTCTATAGCTGGCTATATTCTGTAATAATCTCTTAAGATTATTTTTAGAAGAAAAAGCAGGTACTTATCTTGAGTGAAGAAACTGTTTCATATACCATTGGTAAGTATGGGAAAATTGCTGTTAACCCCCGGAAAATTCATTCTTGGCCAAAATGAACAGTTGTTATCCCTTTAAGTTACACGATTTTTTCACCCAAGAGTGAGCTAAGGAAATTTTAACAATTTCGTAAACATGCCCAGATGTGTCATACCTTAGAGTACCTGTACTACATTATTCTTTTTGTGTTGACGAAACTTTAGTTTCTTTTCATGGCTGAAATTTTTATTTTGCAATTTGTTCGCTACGACAGTTTTTAATCAACAGGACCCCGGGAAGCAAAATAAACAGATATTTTACACTGTTTGGATCATAAAAGGAAATAAATAGAAACGCCTTAACAATCTCGTTTCGTATTGACGGTTTTCTCTTTTCATTGTTGAGCTCGTCATTTTGTGATTTGTTAGCTACGCCAGTTTGAAATCTACGGTGCCTTTGGGACCAAAAATAGATATATGTTAAACTCCATAACAGGTGCCCTGAACCTGCAGAGAGGTGGCATGTCCTCTGATGCTGTGCTAATCTTTTTCTTATAGTGGAACTTTTGTTTCTTTTCAGTGTTGCAATTCCTCTGCTTCGACAGTTTTAAATCAACAGTTGAGAATTCAGTTTTGTATTTTCAATTAACAAAAAGGGGTCAGATATACCATGCTCTAAGTAGAGTATTTCAATAATTTGTTAGTGTTCGTCGATACAGGTATGTGTGCCATCACAGAATATATTTTGCCAATATGATAAGAACAAAATTTCTTTTTAAAAGCATAAGCAGTGCAAATTTCTCCACATCTCTTGAGATGAGAAAAAGGACCAAATGGATCAAACCCCCAGATTGGGATGCAATCATTTAAGTTTTCGGTAAGTAATTTAATACGTCATGTGGTGAAGTACCTGTATTGCCTGTTGTATTTTATGACTAGGTTTCTTTAACTGACTACTTTTACAGGATAGGTTATGCTGATTGATAGTATCAAATTTCCTTTTCAAACCATGAACAAAACAGCTTTAGAGATAAGCAAACATTGTAAGGCTTTAACAAGTCTTGTTAACATTCCATCCCTGATAATTCAATTTGACGGTCGTGAAATTAACAATGCCTCGCGTTTATTTTTTTATTTATTTTTTTTTTTTAGGTTTTTCACACTGTGTGCCACCGTGCAAGAGATTCATTCTATTGATGAGACAAAATAAAACCCTAGGCGAAACACAATTCCATCTAACGGCTCCGGAGACGAAAAGTGAAAAATAAAAATTCTGTTTCTATGTTGATCTTTTTTCTCGACAGACTCGAATGTCATTTCCATCCATCACTGATTTCGTAACTTTTCAATTTCTATTCTACCATTCTTAAATGGACATGCATTGCGAATTTCAGTTTTTAATATCTTATGAGAAACATAGATCTTTCATTTAGGTTGGTTGATGCCACTCATAATTTTGTGTGCTGAAATCAAATTAACTGAATGTTTTTTTGCAAAAGGAACAATATACACAGAAACATCAGTAATATCAGTAATATATTGCTTTATTTGTATTGACGAAACATTTGTTTCTTTTTCCTGGCTGAACTCGTCATTTGCATTATTTTTAACGACAGTTTAAATCTTTGGTGCCTTGGGAGCTTAGAAAAATATCTGAAACATTTTTGTGAACCTGCTCGCAGGTGACATGTCTTCTGATGTTCTATTGATCTTTGTCCGACAAAAAAGACTTGTTTCTTTTCATAACCGACCTCAGTGTTTCATTCCACCCGCTGCATCAACTTAAAATCAACAGACACCTGATCACTCACTTATATTGGTTTTCATTCAACAATGAAGATTCCAATGTATCATGCTCTGAGTATTGTCGTTTGTATTTTGTTACCGTGTTTGTCAAATTGTGTGGCATCACAGAATATACTTTGCCAATTTAACGATATCTAAATTTCTTTTCAAAAGCATAAATAAGACATGCTTCTTTTCCACGTCTCTTGACATCAGAAAAAGAAAGAAAGATATCTACAGACCAGTACTGACTGATGATTCAACACTGTGGGTTTTCAGTGAGGGATATAACACATCATGCTCTGTAGCGTTGTCTTTTGTATTTTATGTCTAGGTTTTTCGAACTGACTTTTTTGGAGATAAGAAAATTATCAAAGAACGGCCTTAACATGTCTTGTAAACATGCCAAGATTTGACATATCTTTGTGTAACCTGCTGCATCTTTTTGATGACGGTTTCCTTTTTTCTTTTCATTTTTGACCTTATAAATATACATTTTTTTTCAATTGGCTGATCCCATTACCACACGTTAGAAACCTGGGTGTCTACTATCTGCATGGATAGACAAGTATCAAATATCACTCAATCATTATTAACACCAAAAACACCGGCGCTGTTAGAAACTACCCGGCTCAATCCTCTACGGCAACAGTTATACATGTGGTGGTTACCTCTCGTTAGGCCACTGCAACTCTTTGCCATATGGCTGTTTCTGAAGAACGATTTAAAATCTACAGCGAATTCAAAATATTTCAGCGCAGTTTTTAAACCCAGGGGGACTCATATTACACAAGCTGTACTGGCTTCCAGTTAGAGCACACATTTTATTAAACTTCTTAAATTTTATTGATGCAATGTTCATAAATCAGCACCCCTCAAACACTTTTATTACTTCATCATTATGTTTCAAGACCTAGTTTAAGATCACTTGACCATATATTGCTGTTACAATGTTAAGACAGGTTAAGAACATGCAGCGAACTAGCCCCTCAAGTGTATGGCCAAATTAGAGGAACATTCTCCCAACTATAAAGTTCGAGGATAATTTTGAGCAATAGATGAGAAAGCAGACTATTAGCTTAGTATTATAATATAGCCTTGTATATTCTGGACACTTGTCAGTGACTTACTGTATCTGAAATCCCCGGTGCTATAAACATTGCGACACAAGATCCGGTTCCAATTCCTTTGCACATAGTTTGATCCACTTGCATCACGGTGACTATATCCTGTACGAATCAAATGGATCGAGGGCCCTCTGTTAAGCGGAAAGTGGGTTTCTTATCACAGGTCGCAATTAGCACGTTATATGCGTGATGTCTTGTTTATGTTTCTTCGCCAATTAAATAATTAAATAAATTATATATATATAATTGCTCTTGGATAGTATGGGCTGATGATTTAAGACAAATCAAGACACTTTAGAAATTGAAATTATATATAGTGTTCAGTAATTTTCCTTTGCTATTTTGAGCGCTTTGAGGCTTACAAAACAAAAACACTACTTGTAAGTGTAATAATCACAGAATTTAGAACACGTATTAGACATTAGAAACACCAATATACATCTTGCTTTATCAGGTTATCGGGGGGGGGGGGGGGGGGGTCATGTCAAAAGTAGGTCTCCAACTCAAGGACAAGCCGATTCATGCATACAAACCTTATGGGCTTGCACGCCAACCACTACACAGACGAGCTAAAATTGCAAACATTCCATTTTTTGTCTTATATATAACTCACCAGAAGGTTGTCCAAATACATTTATAATTGAATCATTTGCATAAGGATAGTACTTTCAAATGGCCAAACTTACATTACTGTCATAGGTGTAAGAGGAATTAAAGTCCACCAGTAATACAAGTCCTACCTACTGTAATTGTGAGCCAGGAACCTAAGTCCTAGTAGGACTACAATTCCCGAGTAATGGTAGTCCTACGGACAACCATTTCCAGGAACCGAGATCCGTAGGACCTCGGTTTCTGGGGGACTTGGATTATTGTTACACTGGTATCGAATCTGACAAAAAGCTTGTGGGATTGAACTTACTAGTGGAAATTTTCAACCACCCTCCTACAGTTGTATAACCGACAAGATCCCTAGTACAAGTGAACAACCGAGCCAGACGAAACTTGCTGGATTAAATTTTGCAGAGGTTTCAAACTTCCTAACTAAGGTTCCTAACTTTTTGAATATAGATGTTATTCAACATGCAAATCAAAATAATGTATGTTTTGAATCCAGAAATTGGCGGCCATTTTGGATTTTTCAACTTTGAACAAAGTCTCAAAAAGATTTGAATTATTCAGTCATTTATTTTATTACTTACCTTGTGCAATAAATCTTTCATTAAGTAGTCTGAGATGTTTTACTTTAAGAAAGGCTTGTTGACATATCAAAACCAAAAGCCCATTTTATGCGGTGGCCATCTTGGATTAGAGCCATCTGTGTTCAAATATACAATTCAAGGATAAATTAACTGGTATAAATAAAAATGTATAGACTTCAACTGATTCAATGTCATCAAAAC